GAATAACTTAGAGGAGGAAAGATTTATTTTGAGTTCATGGTGTCAGAGGTTCAGTCCATGGTTATCCAACTCTACCACTCTGAGTCCGAGGTGAGGAAGAACATCATGATAGAAAGGTGTAGAGGAAGAAAGCATCTCAGCTCATGGCAACTGGGGAGCAGATTGAGAAAGGGCAAGACAGTGGGGGTGGTGGTGGAGGGAGGAGATGAATGAGAAGCAAGGGATAAAAAATAAACTCCAAAGGCATGCATGCCTCCAACCTGCCTCCAGTTACCATCCAGTTAGTCCATTCAAATTTTTTACTAATTCATCAAATGAATTAGATTACAGGTCTCATAAGGAAATAATTTCATCTCTGAGCATTAACATTCCTGCATTGCTTAAAGTGAGCTCCTGGGGAGACACCTCATACCCAAGCCATAATTGTGTGTGTGTGTGTGTGTGTGTATTTGAAAGTGTAAATTATAGTCTGTTTGAATATATGCATTCAGAAAGTGTATCCTCTTTATCCCTTGGATAGAATGTATAGAAATCTGTTTCTCTTGGAAAGACAGTGGAATAGCAGCATGGTGTTAATGGGCTGTGGCTTCAATCAGACCTGTGTTATGGTAACTTCCACAAGTGCACTCACTTCTTTGAACTTCAAATTGCCACATTTGTAAAGCAGGGATAATAATTGAATTTTATAGAATTGTTAATATAATTAAATGACTACCATATGTAAAGCACTTAACTGATTGCCTAGCTCATAGTACATGCTCAAGAAATGTTAATTATTGTTGTAATACTTGTGTCAGATTATTTAAGATTTTCCAAACTTCCCCTTCCTCAGGGATTGAAATTCTGTTTCCTCCCACAAGTGTCTGTGTCCTGCTACTTCCATGTTTCTGTCTGCTATAGTTTTTGCATCATCTAGAAAAGATTTCTCCATCCCTCAGATGCTGACAATTTGTACTCCTTGCATCTCACTTAACGTAGATTGCCTTATGTTGATGTTACGCCTGTATGTGGTTTATCTTTCTTTAAAGTTTGCAATTTCCCTGTGGACAGAGCATATTCTAAATACCTTTGCACTGTTCCAAGATGTTTACCCACATAGTAAATGTCCTATAAATATTGAGTAAATGATTACTCAGTGGTACAGAAAGGCAAGTGAGACTGAATAAATACTGCTTCAATGAAGGCCTACATTAATTAAACATATTTTTGACATGATAGTCAGGCCCAACCAAAGTGGATTTGATGATAAGTTTGGTTTGCCTTGGGCCCTTCACTGTCCTCAAAATAAAAATTTTCTAACTCCTTGAATTGTGAGTTGACATGGCACACGCTTGATAGATGTTGGAAAAATATTTTTTTAACCATAAATTTGTTTGTTTATTTTCTAAATTTTATTTTTAATTAAAAAATATATTCTTTCCCCTCATCTGTTTATGGGGCATAATATAATGTTTTGATGTATGTTGATAACAGTGTTTGAGGGATTTTGTTCCAGGCTATCAAATGCAGGTAAAAAGGAAAGGGAGAGAAAAGAAATATAGACAAAGAATAACTGTGATAAAAGATGACCATATGATGTTGGTTAAAACTTCAGAATGAAGAAAAATATGACAACTTAATTATTGATCAATTCTAAGATGAGAAGTAAAATATAGGCAGTTAGTCTGGGTAAGAGATCTGTGATGCTTAAAGTTGCCCTTTGGTAGCAAAACATCAAATTATTTTAGTTGTAACAGTTACTGTAAGCCTTTCAAGTTCATGCAGAAGTGTTCTCAGCTATCAGAGGTTTCAGATTTCCAACAAGTTACACTCTTGCTCTACTCTTGACTTGAGTAATCACCAGTACACAGGCCATAGGTAGTGAGGCTGGATATAATAGCATGCTCACTAGGGCTACACATTTGCTCTATTATCTCAAGGAATGGCTGTGTCTTTCATTTAATATTGCCAGTTTTACTGTCAGAAGGGTATATAACATAATGGAAAGTATATGGGCATCTCCACTTACTAGATAAGTGTTGGTGAGTTTAAATTTCTCTTATCTTGAAGTTGAGGATAACAGCATTATTATTTTGAGCTTTAATCATTGTTAACATCAACATGATCATCATGGTGGGTACCCTTTATTGACTTTTGTAGTATGTATCAGTAACTGTTCTAAGTGCTTTACAAGGATCAGTCTACTTAACTTTTTGAACAGCGTATTAATAAGGTGTATAATGCTTTTGTCCTCATTTAAAATATCCAGTATAATGCCAGGCATATTATATATACATAAATTTTATTATTATTATTATTTAATAACAATTATTATCATCCTCTAGATAAAGCACAGCCTAATTATTTTTGGATTAAAATTTTATTTCAGAGAAAAAAAATCTTCTAGAATTTCATCAAAAAGGAATTAAATTTAGACTTTATCTAGTTTAGTTGATTTCCGTATTTTTAAGCCACAAATTGTCATTTCCAAGATCCATATGTCAAAAACATAAAAGTATAAGTATTCTACTTGAATCAGGAGTGGATAACTTGAACCCTATGTCACAGTTTATCTGTGCCCAGGACTCTGAGAAACATACTTTGGAAATCACTGATAGTATCCATTCTTGGTATATACACCTAGATAGGCAAAGTGATTTATAGTGTTTGCTAACTGCAGGCTCTGAATTATGCATCAGATCCTAAATCTAGTATTTTCTATGAGACCACAACATGTAGTTTCATAGCATAGTAATTATTATTCCCTAAAATATACTGATTTAAAGATAACAAAGTACCCTCATATATCTTAACATATTTGAACTTTACAATTTTTGTGGTAGGTATAATGAATTCTTAGTATACCCCAAATGCTGTATAATATATGCACATTAAAAAAATTCTGGTAGAAATAGCAGTAGAGGAAGGGGGAAAATCAGAGACCTGAAATATTAGAAAAGTGTGATATCATTGAAATAAGCAAGTACAGGAAAGTTGGCATTTTCCCTGAGAGCAATTTCTAGGCCTCAGTGGTTTGGGCTGTGGCTTTTAATGGACACTGTGTAGGAATGTGGGAGATAGTTTGGTGCCAGTTGATATGCTTTAAATAAGGACCTTGAATGGTGAATCCCTCAATGGGTGAACTAGGAAAAATCCACAGTAAAAAAGGAAAGTTGCCTATCAGTCTTGACTCTAGATTACGGTCTAGAGGATAAAAGTTTGCATTCCTGAAAGCTTTGGGCTCGAATTTATTCTATCTGTGTGGCTCAGTTCTCATCCCCAAGGCAAAGTTGTAGTTTAAAGTGATTTTGGATTGATGATTCCCTTAAGCAACTGACAGAAGCAAACACAAATTCTCTGAAGAAATGCAATTTTAAAACCAAAACTTCAAATAATTCCCATAGATTAAATTTCAAAGAATATGAGCTTGCAAATAAAAGAATCAACTCAAAACACAAGAAAATTAACCATCATGTGTGATACTCAGCACAAACTACCAACTGCAAAATTAGATGTGCAAGACTGAAGATATTGAAACTGTTAATATAGAACATGCAAGTGTAATGTGTTTGAAGAAATAAAAAAAAAGATGAAAGAATGAGGGACTGTCAGATTTGACAAACAGATCAAAAAAGAAGCAGTTATAATTCTAGAAAATAAAAATAAGTGAAATAAAAAAAATATGTGACTGAAACAGAATGTGATAGAACTCTAGAGAGACATCTTAAAAGATACATCCAGAAGGCATACAGAATTTAGCATCAAAAGTAAAGAGAAACAGATTATATGAAAAAACAAATGTAAGTTATATGAAGGAGAGCTCAAGAAGGAAAAACATTTATCCAGTTAGCATAAAGAAGAGAGAAAATTGTGAAGAGAGAATGTTTGAGAGTCTTTCAAAATGGTGAAAGATTCCACCAGTCTTCATATTTAGGAATCCCAAGAAATCCCAATAGTAAATTCATGAACCTCAGTGTAAAACTAAAGAGTATATAACAAAAGCAAGCAACCAACCAGACAAGCAGATCTTGGAAAGTATCTATAGAGAAAGAGGTTGCTTCATAGGAAGGAATGACTGTTAGATTAACAACTGACTACTCCAAAGCAGTAATAGAAATCGTAAAAATGGAATGATGTTTTCAAAGTATTGAGACAGAGTAACTGTCTAGCCAGTAAAGTTATAAAGATGAGGATAGTATATAGATACGTTTAGACAAATGAAAATCAAGCAGGGTCCTATGAAAGGATCCTTGGTAAAGAAGCTTCTAAAGTATATTTTAGGAAGATAAATAATTATCCTGGAAGGCATGGCAGGGATTCAGGCAGAAATGTTGAGAAAAAGAAAATGTCAAACCTGTGGCTAAAAGAATATGGTATATCATACAGCATTGATGAATGTTGTTAACATTAGTAAGTGTGAATAGAAAAAAAAACACACCATACAAGATGTGTACAGTATGATTTCATATATATGAACTTTGAAATGGGTAAAACTAAATTATATTTGCATAAGTAAATAGTACCTATACATGATAAAATCATAAATATATGTAAGGGAGTGATTAACCCAGAATTCAGGATAGTTATCTCTGATGGCTGGAAGAAAGATTCATTGGAGAGATGTAATTAAGAGATACTGATAATATTTTCTTGTATTAATTATATATATTTGTATATTTTATCTTTCCTTTTCTACATATCATAATTTTTTTCAATGAAACAATTATAAAAAGTCCAGTCATGTAACATGATAATAGGAAGAGCATTCAGGATCCGCATGAATAAGAGCCTTCAGGTAGTGACAACCTTAGTAAATTTGAGTACAGTAACAAAATCTCGTTAGCTTGGGATAGACTAAAGTTTCCTATTTCTCTTCTCCAACCCCCTGCCCTATTCACCCTTGTTTATTGCCATTGTATGTTTTCATGCATAATGACATAATAAAAAAGTTTCATGCTTTATTATTTGGAGGTCTTTTATTCCCTCCCTTCCTGATGTAAAATTTTATTTGTATCTTCTAGGTCATAACTTTTGTGCTGAAGCACCTAAATGTGGTGAAAACTCAGAGTGTAAAAACTGGAATACAAAAGCTACTTGTGAGTGCAAGAATGGTTACATTTCTGTCCAGGGAGACTCTGCCTACTGTGAAGGTAAGTAAAGAATTTAAAGAAGTCACTTGTGAGAAACTGGCTGAGAAATGTGTTCCCACAAGAAACTGTACCAACTACCCCAAGTACTCTGTTTTCCTGGTTTATTCAAGCTGTTTACCATGAGAAAGCAAGACCTTTGAAGGTTGTTGCAAAACATTACAAGTAACCAAAAGTAACAAGTTTTATGTGAAATCCCTGTTTCCACTGTTTGTCGCAATCACCAGAACAACCATAAATGCATTATTTTCTATAGTCTTATTTGAGGATATTGTCATCTCCAAGTTTGATTATATTTTACGTGGTGGATTTTCTTTTCAAAGGACACTTTGGCTTTAACTTGTACCCAGCTGTTACCTTCCCTTGTCAAGGTCGGAATTGCTTTTTCAGTGGGATTTCTTTTCTTTCTTTCTTTTTTTTTTTAATGGCTCATTCACATATTGCCAATTACCAATCTTTACCAAGAATCACAGTGACAGGATTCATAACTCTGACACATGAGCTGATGCCCCTACAATGGATTTGTGGCTCAGGCATGAACCACACATCTACTCTACAGGGAAAAAAAAAAAATTGCTCTGCCTTATGTGAATGAGCCTCTTTTTCCAAGCCCAGCATGGTATTCTGCTGGTGGTGAGCATTGCATACTCTTATTCCTTTAGGAGGCCAGAGGCATGGGGTTAGCCCTGACCCCTTTCTATATGCATGGTGCTGCAGTACCTGAGCCTATCAATCCTTAAAGTGCTTCCTGGCTCCCTGCTATCAATTTAGAGAAGGTCTAATAGACAAAGTTATGACTGGACTCTTCTCTGTCCCAGTTCCTGTCATTTCAGTCATTTCTTTTACCTTCACTAATAAAATAGCAATAGTGATCTGTTAATCAGGAAGGGAGATGTTTTCAGTTGAATGAATGTTGCAAAATCTGCTCAATCTCCTGTTAAGATCTTTGGGTCTCAAATGGTTCAAGTGTTAAGGTAAAGACAATATTCATAGATGACAGTAAGGCAAATTTCTTTTCATTCTGCTGTTTTGTATTATTGAACCTTGCTTAACTTTTTGGCTTTGACTCTAGACTTCTTCAGTTGTTCAGGAAGTGCATCACTTAGAGTGGTAAGTTCCTGGTAGGCAGCCTCTGTGTTTTTTTCATTTCTCATGGAAAACTTCTTTCTTCACTACCTTCCTACTTTGCAACATTCTAGCTAGTGGAGTTTTCACCCTCATTTTTTTTTAAAACCTTCTTTTCCCTCTTACTAATTTTATTGATTTGAACTTGCTTAGTAAGACATGCCACTTGGTAGAACCAAAGAGCCGTTATGTCATGAAACCTTTCATCTACCTTGTAATATCATTGTAGTTACTTGTTAATTTCTGAGAAGAGGATTACTAATATCAATGCTTCATACTAATGTCTGTTTTAAAATATTTTTGGGTTATGCTATTTTCAGAAACTTAATTTAAAAACTTCAGTTGTGAACATTCGCCTTACCATTCTTTATGAAAAAAAAAATCTCTACAACCAAGGTAATGGTCTAAAAAACTTACTCTCTTACTTTCTAGTATATGTGGACTTAGACTCTGGACAATCATAACAGGAATCTCAAAATAATTTGAATCCTGATTCCATTTCCAACAGACCTTTAAGTTGTCCATTAGAATCTGTCCACCTATCATTCCTAGTCCCCCTTAGCTATTGAGACCTAGAAGAATATGGAAGAAAACTACTGGTGTTAATGCTGTTGGAGACTCAGACGCTCTCCTCACTGATACCATTTTTTAGTCCCTAGATTCAGTGCCAAGAGAAGCCATCTGTGATATTAAATTTGCCCTTTCTGTATGAAACCTTATTTTATTGATTGTGTTGAGTGATTTTAGGTCTGAATCACCGTTTTCTTGGACATGCTCCTGCAATGTATGAGCCTGGCCTCAGGCCAGCATGCACCGTGGTGTTAACCTTGAGTAACAGTAATGTGCTTGGGCCTCAGCCATTACATTGTTATCACAGAGACTCTCTGCAAGTTCCAGGGAACTTGTTCATGGAGAGAGGGATAGCACCTAAAGAGCCATGGCTAAAGGTTGGAGTCCTCCTAGTGTATAAGAAACAAGCTCCAGGAGTAGAGCAGGCATCTAGATGGGAGGCATAAAGAATCAAAAAGAGCAAACATGGGACATTTACAGCAGATGCTTTTCTTCAGTTCGTCTGCCATCTGCAGAATATTGAACTTTGGTTTTCTGGCTTATGTTCCTCTGATTGAATGGAGGCTGCCATAGCTCCAGTCATGGTCCCTTCCTCCATATAAGGAAGGGAAGAAGGGTGGCAATTAAAAATCTCTGTGTAAAATTTTGTCTTTTTACATATATATATATATATATATATATATATATATATATATATATATCTCCACTCCTACCACTACCATATGCAGAATATTTCCCATCTTATTCAGACCTGGGTGATATCCCCGCCCCCTACACCCCCACCCATATACCCCTGGGCCAATGTTTGGGTGTAAGGAAAGGAGATACCTCCTGCTGGTTTGGGTCAATTGTGTTCATTCCCTGGAGCTGGAATGTGGGTTGTCTTCCTTTAGACCAAATGATCCTTTCCTCTGTTTGAAGCAAACAGGGATATGCCAATAGAAAAGAGTGGGGTTTGATTTTAGGAGGGCAAAAACCCACTCTTTTATTAGTTAAATTTAGTTCCTGGGCCATTTTCCTAGTTTTCTCCTAAGAACTGCCCTCTGGGGTGATCTGATGACAAGCTTAGAGTTAGTACTGGAGATGCTCAGAAAGCAGGCTCATTGTCTTAGCCTATCCTAGAGAGAGATAGATACTCACGAACTGCTTCAGGCAAGTTATTTTTTAACCCAAGTAAATGGAGCAAAAATGGCCCACATTATAAAAGCCACCACGGAACAAGACTGGTTTGCAAATTAAAACAAAGTGTTACCCACATTGTCCAGGCTCTCTTGAAAAGCCTCTTCAGGCTCTCAGTGGATAAAGAAGCATAAAACGCTTTCAATTTTCTTAACTTCCTAAGGTAGTAGCAGAGCTGTGGTGTATTAAGGACTCCTGCTCTGCAGAGATTGTAGACTCTGCCAGAGAGAAGATATCGGAACTCCTAGCCAATCAATAGAAGATAATAAGAGCTTTTGTCAGCTATGATACAAGTCACAGGAGGTTGTTTCATTCTGCCTCTTGTGACTCAAGCAGGCGCATTCCCCATTTTGAAAACTGCTTTTGTTGGATTTCAGTGTTTTATGAACTTGGCAGGCTGAGGCTTTTCCCCTTTGTGATAACATTTTCAATGAATGGGTCTTGAGTAGTTTTTGATACACTAGTTTAAATTAGAGGTACTGTCTGAGGAAAATGTAGCAAGAGGGGTCCTAGTGATGATCTTCTTTAGAGATTCACAAACTGTTTTTTCCAGGTTTCAAAAAAGCCATTTAGGTGAATGAAGGATAACATAATTTATGCATCCTGCAATCTGCCAGGTATAGAAAGTGCTACAATTAGTATTAAATGATAAGACCTTTTACTTGCAGAATACTCTGAATTTTCCAGACTTCTCTCAGGTATCTTATACTTTTTTTTTTTGAAACTTTCAAGAAATCTGTGAGAAGGCTGAAAGCCTTGACTGCCATTAGCTTCATTTTATAAATGCAAACATTAATACTCAGAAATGAAGATAAAATTCAACTCATTTCTATTCCAGGGCTTTATGCCCAGACTTACACTGTTCCCAACCTTCTCACCACTCTTGCACTGTTCCAATGTCATCTTTTTGTTCAGAATATTTGCTATCTATCTATCTATCTCATTTATCCCACTGGCATCCAGTTTGGCCAAAGAAATGTAAGTGGGAATGACAAGTGTCATTTCATAGTAGAAGCTCTAAGAACTTTTGCAGGATTCTACATCATTTTCTTCTCTTTATGACATGAAAATCTGGCAATATTCCAGATGAGAGCTTCCCCTTTAGCCAGGGTTCCAGAACAAAGATGACATGAAGCAGAGTTACTGCGGACAGGTGATGGACATGTAGCATGAGTGGGAAACGTGTATACCACCGAAATTAGCGGGTTTGGGTATGTGGGGGAATGGTTATATGTTACCTTTCCATAACTTAGCTAAATTCACTGATGTACCCACCTGAATTAATTGATTCAAAACTCACAGGTTCAGCCTGGTACAGTGCCACATGCCTGTAATTCCAGCAGCTCTGGAGGCTGAGGCAGGAGGAGATTTGGGCCTATATTTTTCTCTATTATGTGTGGGTTCTCTGGTCTAATTCCTAGGTCCTTGATTCACTTTGAGTTGAGTTTTGTGCATGGTGAGAGATAGGGGTTTATTTTCATTTCACTGCATATGAATTTCCAGTTCTTTCAGCACCATTTGCTGAAGAGGCTATCTTTTCTCCATTGTATGTTTTTGGTGCCTTTGACTAGTATGAGATAACTGTATTCATGTGGGTTTGTCTCTATGTCTTCTATTCTGTACCATTGGTTTACATTTCTATTTTGTTGCCAGTACCATGTCATTTTTGTTACTATATCTTTGTAGGTTAGTTTAAGGACTGTTATTGTGATGCCTCTTGCTTTGCTCTTCTTACTAGGGATTCCTTTGGCTACTCTGGGTCTCTTATTTTTCCAAATGAATTTCATGATTGCTTTTTCTATTTCTAAAAGAAATGATTATGGAATTTTAATTGGAATCACATTGAATCTATATAGCGCTTTGGGTAGTATGGCCATTTGACCATATTAATTTTGCCTATCCAAGAGCATGGGAGATCTTCCCATCTTCTAAAGTCTTCTTCAATTTCTTTCTTTAGTGTTCTGAAGTTTTCATTGTAGAGATCTTTCACCTCTTTGGTTAAGTTGATTCCCAAGTATTTTATTTATTTATTTATTTTGAGGCTATTGTGAATGGGATGGTTTTCCTAATTCTCTTTCAGAGGATTCATCACTGATGTATAGAAATGCATTTGACTTATGGGTATTTAT